TCCTGCTGGTCCTTCAGCCCCGGCTTGACCTGTGGGGAGGGGAGAAGATGGGCATCACATTGGATAAGAGATGGAGTTCTCGTGGGAAATTGTCCTAAAGCCTTTGCATTCATCAGCAATGTGGTTTTGAGACAACAAAGGGAGATTCGGAGGAGCTTGGTGGGAGGCAGCAGTTGGGGAATACTGTTCATCCATTGTCACTGCGCCTGTGGCCCTGACCTGGTGCAGGGACCAGCACCGTGATGCCTGCAGAGAGGGAGGCTGAGTCACATAGGGCATCGCTTTTGAAATTTAAAAAGCCCTTTTAAGGAAACTGCTTTAAAAACAAAATTGTGACAAGGGGTTTTATCATTAATGTTTTAATGCCTGCGTCTGCTAGTCTACCTCATGGAGAGATTTGTGCTAGCGGTTTTAAAATCATAATTTTGCCTCTCAATAGGATAAGAAATGCCATTTTAGACTCTCATCACTACCCCACTTGTCTTCATAGGTGCTAAAGTCAGAGCAGAAATTTATGAAGCCTTTGAAAACATCTACCCCATCCTCAAGGGCTTCAGGAAGACAACGTAATGGCTGGCCTGCCCTCCCACCCACTTGTAAAAACACATCCGTTTGGTACATTTAAGTGGTGGTGGTGTGGGTGGCCTGGGTCCGCGTGGGTTGCAGCCTGCATGTACGCCTGGGCACACACCAGGTGTCACTGTAGTGCTGCCTGCCTATTTAGATTTAGATTTTAAACTCTTACTGCTGTTGAAAAATTGGTTTAAGAAACAAAACTTTGGTGTTAAAGCCACCTCTACAATTGACTGGACTTTTAATTTTGTTTGCTTTATTCCCCATAAACCACAGTTTTTATATTTCTACCAGAAAAGTAAAAATGTTTTTTACAAGTGTTGTTTTTCTAATTTGTAATCCTAGGGTTTATTTTTTGTGCCAGACACATTCCGCCCTCTCAGTATTGCGGGACAGATGTATTAATGAACACAGATGGCTGTAAATATTTCTCTCCTCAGTACTCTGTACAATAAATGCTGTTTATAAAAGTGTTAGGTTGATGTTATAAATGATGCCTTGTAAGATTTATGTGACTGTTAAAAAGGTTGTATTTTAGATATAATGCCTGAAACCGCTTCATTGTGTGTGTTCTTGTTTCAATCAACATTTCATTGTCTGTTGCAATGGGAATGGAAGAACTGCCTGGAGGCTTGTTACCCATCAAACACGTCTATCATGGTCATGCACCGAGTTCTTTTTCCCAGAGACGTTGTTGCCTGCGACTCACCCTAACCCTGTCCCAGCACATCTGTTTTATTCCTCGTCTTCTCGCCACCTCTTTTCCTTAACATTTCAGGCCATTTGGCTGGTGGATCCTCCATGTGTTGGGCCGTTGGCTAATTCGTGGTGTGGTTCCGTGTCCCGTCTCAGCTCCTGCAGGTGGGGCTGCATCCAGATGCTTGACCCTTTCATTAAGGCTGAGTGCGTGTTCTTCTGTTAGGAATCAAGTATGTGGTTGTCTCTCTTCTCATTATTTATTAGGGGGTTGCAGATGATGAAATTCTAATCATTTCCCTTCTCATATTCATTGGTTTATTATCCTCTACACTGAAAATTCTTAATATTTAAAAACACATGGGATGAGTTAAAACATCCCAGTCATTTCACGTTATTATACACACAACAGTCTTACACACTACCACAAACGATTATTGGAAGTGTTACAGCATATTTTTTGCTGTGCTTTCTGAATTGGTAAGGCCAGAGCCAGTGCCAGCAGGCAGTGGGCTGCTCCCCCACATGGGCTGTCTGGCGGGGCAGAGTCTGGATTGGCAGCAATGATAGACGTCCTCTGCAGGAGCCATAAAGTGTTTTGACATTTCTAGAGGCTACTGAGTCGTGTGATGTACTTGTACATGAGAAAGGGCGGGGGGTGGCTGGGAGTGGGCACAGGGGATGGCAGGTGGTGACAAGGAAGAGTTGGGCCAGCTCAGGACACAGCCCACTTTGCAGATCCTTCTGTAGATCGTCTCTTTTTACTCTTCACAAAACAGCCATTTTCTTTTTAAGTTTTATTCCATCAGAGATCCACACACATATGAAACACATGAAACCAAACACTTAGAAAAATAAAGACACAGATGTACAAATATTTAAAAAATGTGTGATCATACTAGGAATACCACCTGTAACGGTATCTTGGTGTGTGTTCAGATCTGTACTGTACTGGATGTGCATACAGGTCTGCATCAAAAACTGCATAGATACACCAAAATATATGTAATTCCCTGTTACTGGGCATTTTGTTTCACTAATATTTAGACACTAGAGGCCCAGTGCATGAAATTATGAAAACTGTGCAGGGAGGCGGGGCGGTCTCTCAGCCCGGCCTGCACCCTCTTGCAAACTGGGACCCTTCGGGGGATGTCCAACTGCCGGTTTAGGCCCAACCCTGCAGGATCGGGCCTAAACCAGCAGTTGGACATCCCTCTCGCAATCCAGGACCGCTGGCTCCTAAATGTTAGCCTGCCTGCCTGATCGCCCCTAACTGCCTCAGCTCCCATGGCTTTGTCCAGAAGGACATCTGGAAGGTAGTTCAGCTGTCTGGTTGGTCTAATTAGCATATTCCATTTTGTTATTATAGATTGTAAATAAGGCCTAAAACATCTTTGTGACCCTCTCTCTGGTACAATTATTCCCTTAGGATAACATCCTAAAAATGGAATTGCAAGGTCTAAGAGGTTATGAGCACTTTTAAGGCTATTTGAGCTTCTCTTTAAGGTGTATCTGTTACATCTTGCTTCCAAACAAATTCTTCTGTGTAGCCGGTGCCCAGGCTGCAGCTCTCAGCACAAGTGTAGACGGCCAGGACACCCCAATCAACACTCTTGCCCAGCCTGTCGGCCTTTAGGTAGTTGAGCAGCTGAGGCATGACCTGAGAAGACAACACAGAGACCTGCTCAGGCGAGGAGCGCCGTTTGCCTTCAGCAGACCTTCCCTGCCAGGCTGAGCCTGAGCTGTCAAGTTTCCACGCTGCACAGAATTATAGACATTATGCAATGAACAATGTAAAAATATTTTGCAGCTCTGTCCTCAGAACCTGTTTCATTTGGCATCTTTCACTTCCATTTGAGAAAGAAGTTCCCAAATACAAGACTGGCCAATCCATTTGGCTTGGCTGGTTATCTAATTAATTTTAATAATGTGCCATAAAATAGGACAGGCTTCTATCTGGGAAACTTTTTCTTTCTGTCATTTGAACAGCAGGTGCTGGTGCAATGACTGAAGGAATACTAGGTTAATGAATACAAAAAGGAAATCTGTTGATGTTTGCTCAGGAGGCCAGCAGTTGGATGGAAGAGTGAAGGTCTGCCCCACCATTAGGAAACTGCTTCACACACACACTGGCAGCTCATCTCAGCATCAAGAGCTTTGTGACTAAGAACCAACCAGTGTTGGATACAGTCCTCATAATTCCCTTTCTACCCTAAGGAACAAGTATTACCTACCATTCGGTAAGGTTACTGAATCCACTGTTAGAGGATTGATTTCCACCCAACCCCAAAATGATTCTGATGCTAACAATCTCTTTTGAAAAAACATTTACCGTAATGGTACTTAATGTATCGTAATGACACATGCATTTGTTTTCCTAAGAAATCCACAAATCCACATTAAATAGAGCAAGTTCTGAAACACTCCTCTCACAAAGTAGTCATACCGTGATCAGTGGAAGAAGATGTATTATTTAAAATTACAGCCGAAACCGGTTTGGCTCAGTGGATAGAGCGCCGGCCTGTGGACTGAAGGGTCCCAGGTTCGATTCCGGTCGGGGGCATGTACCTGGGTTGCGGGCGCATCCCCAGTGGGGGATGTGCAGGAGGCGGCTGATCGATGTTTCTCTCTCATCGATGTTTCTGACTATCTCTCTCCCTTCCTCTCTGTAAAAAATCAATAAAGTATATTTTAAAAAAAATAAAAAAAATTACAAAGAGAACAACAGAGGCTCTGAAAATAATGCTGTATTTATATTGGGAGGTGGGGGCTGGTCCAGAGGGTAAAAGCGAACACATGTAAACCCTCATTATTGTAGAAGCACACCGATAGCTGGAAATTAGTAAAATTACAAATGACAGGAAAGTCATGTTACTTAAGAGATGGAAAAACTACCAAATAAAGCAGTAAGACAGTTTTAAGCCCGGAGGTGGGGCAGGAAACATGATTTTCATGGTAGGGCAATTTCTGTAATACCATTCAGATCCTGTGCATACGTTACATTGGTAGTTTTGTAATGTTTTGAAAACATAAAGCAGGGTAATTACCTAGTGGAATAATTTATATTTAAGGTCATACCTGGAATTCAAATATTCTCTTGGTTCCACAGGGGCAGTCTGGAATATCCTCCTCTTGGGGGACATTTTCACCAGAGATCCAGATGGGGGCAAGCCCTCTGCCGTACCTGAGAATCTGAAATCAATTAGGATCACATTCCGATCATCCACGTCTTACCTAAGAGTTTCCCCCGCCCCTACCCCACATATTCTCAAAGTTAATTCCTTTTCAATGTTATCAAAGCAATGATTTTAGCCTCTCCAATTCAGGAAATCAAAATTGAATCTGAATCTTGTGTTCTGTGAAGAGACCGACAATAAGCCTATTCCCCCATTCTGACTTGAACATGCAGCGTCTGTGCTTTCCTTCATACAGGTATCAGGAACCTTCATTTTTAAAGGGACAAATACCAAGTGAAACAAAGTGTTTCAGTAAATGCCACTTAGGCACATTTCTTAAGATATTATGTAACAATGGAATGGTTTTCCTTTATTTTGTTTAAAGCACACAGTGCTGAACACCACCTTGTCAGTGTTTCAACCTAGATCAACTCTTCCTAGGAGCTCCTGGATACTGATGTGATCCAGTGACTGGCTTATGGAAGTTTTCTCTCGTGACTGCTGTTCACGGCCAGGGAGTGAAGGGGAAGAACAGAAATGAGCAAGGGAAGCGTGCTGAGCAATCTCCCTCTGTTTCACACGGCAGTTGTGATTACATACGCTCATGATGTAACTCCAGGATCCAGGATTCTTTTTACAAAACCAGTGTCTGTGTTAACATGTCTTGTTGGTTTTTTCAAGCCATATTACACATTCCTATCCCTAATGTTTTTAGAAAATACATCCTTCACTGCCCCTCAAGGTGTTGCAGGTGTGGCTGCCATGTCCCTTCTGTGTCATTAGGTGGCAGAGAGAGAGGTTTGCCTACGCCCACCATCCTGGCCTTGGACATCTGGATGGTTGACAGCCTGACACTTGGCGCCTGTGCTGGGCTGCTGGGTGACCTGGAGCCCATCAGGTGTGAACTCAGTGCTGTTGCAGCAGCCAGACAAGACCGGGCCATGTGCTCTTGGCAAGAACCACCTGGTTAAAGTCTGATCCAGGGGCCGGGAAGGGTGTGCACCCGGCTTGGGCAGGCTGGTCAGTGGGATGGACTGCAGCTGTGAGCACGGTCACCTCAGGACAGATGGGGCTCCTGCTGGACCAGCCCGGGTGCTGGCCTCTGACCTGCAGAGTGCAGAGCCAGGGCCTGACTCACTTCACAACAGAAAGATGTGCCTTGTGCTGCTGTGAGGGCCGTTGCGGCCTGAGAAGTGCCCTCAGTGCAGCAGAATGCGGGCTGCTAGTCATTTATGCCGGATGCTGGGGTGAAAGCAGTCCCATGTGCTCAGCCAGCAGATGTGCCACTGGCCCGCTGCTGCTGGGGAGGCCTGGGGGATCATAGATGCTCACTCACACGTTATGAGGGGGGTGAGGGTGCTGGGTAACCCGGCAGTTACATGCGTTGTGTACAGGGTTCTTCCAATAAAGGCAACTACATTTGTTTACACTGACAGTATGTGCAATGATCCAACTGCACAGTGTATGCTAGAAGACTTGGAGCGGATAATATAGTCATTCTCACAATGCCAAAAAAAAGGAAGAAAAATAAAACACATCCTATATGATAGTGTAACTTTTGTTCTCTCAGTAACTGCTAAAAGGATCATAACAGGAAAAACACCTTCCCTTTGTGTGAAGGGCTGCTGTGACGAGAGAGCTTCTAAGGGTAACACCCCTAAAATAAATCCCTGAAAGAACACAAGAGGGAACCATGCGAGCTCTACTTTACCTGTTCTGGTTCCAGGGCTATTTTATTTTTAAACTCCTGGAAAATCTTATCTTCCCTGGATTCATGTTTTGCCATGGATTCCAATTCTTCTTCAGGTGCTTCACCTAAAAACCATCCACACAAGCATTATGGCAACAGGAATCATCCCCGGGACTCAACAATTCACACCGCTTGAGGGCAGCCAGTTTCAAACAACCAACTAAGTGTTGAATGAATCAGACAGTGAGGGCCAGATGTTCCCAAGGGCTTTCCCTATTTAACACTAGATTGCCCAAGGAAGTCATTTTGACTGCTTTTTAAATTTCAATTAGAAAAACAATGATGTATATAATGACAGAATGTCTTAGAATTTTGTGACTTTTTATACAACATATAAATGCATTTATTAATAATTGTAGTTACCTCCCCCTCCTTCATTTCCAGTATATATATGTATATGTGTTATACATCAAGCAAATCCTACGATTTATTCGTTTTGACAAAAGAATCGAAAGAAGTAGGCACCTACAAACAAATAAGTTTGCCTTGGTTTCAGAAATATGGGACAAGTTCATTGAAAATAGTCAAGCTTGCTATCAACCAGGGCAAAATATAACAGTTGACGAGCAATTATTTCCATCAAAAGCCAGGTGCAGGTTTACACAGTATATGCCTAATAAACCCAACAAATTTGGCATCAAATTCTGGCTTGCCTCAGATGTTAGTAGCAAGTATGTTTTGAATGGTTTTCCTTATTTGGGGAAAGATGAACAACAACCATCATCAATGCTTCTCAGTGAACACGTTGTTCTGAAACTTGTCGAGCCATATACAGGCTGTGGAAGAAATGTCACAACCGATAACTTTTCCACTAGCATGTCACTCGCGACAAAATAATCAAATGACTCTTATTATTGAATTGAGTAAATTTCTTATATGACCAGTTTGGCTCTGTATTGAAATGTTTTCATTTTTTTTTATTATCGTCACATGATAACATACAAGTACATGATAAATTGTCGATACTTGATAAGTTGCAGTTGCTCAATAAGGTAAACTAGTACTTGTTATTCGAATCTTTATGCAGTGATACTTGTTCTAATAAGTTGTTTATTTCTTTTGCGCCCTAAATTCATGAAAGAAATGTCGAATAACTTGTTATATAACTGTAAATAATATAAAAAATATTAAAAATTAATTTTAAACAAATTTCTTTACACATTAGTTATTCCTTCACAATGCAGTCATTTTGACTGCTTTTGTGCAATATAGCTATATACTAAATTTCGGTCTTTCTAGTGTTAAGTTCTTTCAGGTTGGCTCTGCATGACCACCTGAATTTCCAGGTGCGCCATGAAGCACTCACTATTCACTACCCAGGTTCCTGGTGACGACTTCTCTTCAGTAAAGTTTCAAATTTAAAAGAACAGATCCAAGTCCTGGGCTCAGGACGCTGTGACCAGTACATATTAGGACACTCAACAAATGTGAGCCCTTCTTTTTTAAAAAAATGGTTTTGTTCATTTTAGAGAGAGAAGGGAGAGGGAGATGGAAATATAGTTGAAAAACGTCCATTGGCTGGGGATCGAGTCACAACCGGGTCAGGTGTCTTGACTGGGAATCAAACTGCGGACCTCCGGATTCATGGGACAACGCTCAGCAGGGAGCCGCCCAGGCTGGGCCATGAGCACTTCTCACTGTCACCCTTATGCCCCTGGACTCTGACTTCAAATCTCCTCACACTTCTCTTCCCAGCTGTCCCGCCAGCTTGTTCCTCTGCACTCTTAGCTCCTAGGACCCCAGCCACCTGCACCACTGCTGGCCCCAACAGCAGTTAATCTTTGTGACAAGTATTACCATGTATTTCAGATGTCCTTATATGAACTATAGACCAGTAAGTCAACATCCTAATCTAAAATATAATTTTGTGGTGGTTCTTAAAAGCTCGAGTTCTAGTGAGTGAGACGTGAGCTCAAACTCCATTTAAAACCTAACAACTTGTGTCAGTTATATGACCAAACAAGTTACACCCAGAACCTCAAAGTCCTCACTGCAAAATGGGGTTGCTAATTAACTGTGATTTTCATGAGGTCATGCCCAGAAGCCCTTGGTGCAGAGTAAGTGTTGAATAAATGCTGCTGCCAATCAGCCTCTCAGGTATCTGATCAGCAGAGGCTCTGGAGTATGATCAGCTCTAGAGAATTAACCAAATTATGTGTGTAAAACTGGTCATATTACAGGGTTCCAGAGCAGGAGAAATAGGGAAACCGAGGCAGCAAAGTTAAAACAAGCCCAAACAGTGTGGGCAATTTGCAGTTAGCATGTAACTAATAAGCCATTATCTTCCCCAGCCAAGGACTGAGAGCAAATGGTTAAAAACCTCCCTAAGGAGAGAACGCAGAAAGAGAGGGGGAGAGGAAAGGAAAAAAGGGCCGTTTTACTTCCTAAGCAGAGAAGCCAGCAGTCTCAGGCATGGCAAGGTAGTGTTGCCAAGTGCTTCTCATGAATTCTGGGAAGGACACAACAAAGTAAACAGGGACCTTGAGAATTAATCTGCACCAAAATATCCAGCAGAGTAATTTTGAAACCTACAGACAGGAGAGTATATAATGCCACAGACCCCCACCCAACTGGTTTTGCAGATTAGCCGAGTCTGTCGGCACTTCCTAAGCCACATGCATAAGTTTGCTTGCTTTGCTTTTTCACCAAAGCTGCATGCTCTAACTCAGTGGTCGGCAAACCGTGGCTCGCGAGCCACATGTGGCTCTTTGGGCCCTTGAGTGTGGCTCTTCCACAAAATACCACGTGCGGGTGCGCACGTACAGTACGACTGAAACTTCGTGGCCCATGTGTAGAAGTCGGTTTTCAGAAAGGAGATAGATGAAACAAGTACAGTGGGGCCTTGACTTACGAGTTTAATTCGTTCTGAGACCAAGCTCGTTAAGGAGCTTGTTAACTCAAATTACTCTGTCAACTCAAAGCAAAAAATCGGCTGAGAGACAGCTGGTATCTCAAAAAACTCCTTAGTCGGGACACTCGTAAGTAAAGGCCCTACTGTACACAAGACGAGTGTGGATGGGAGAGTTGCAAGGGGTCGACCTCAGCGAACGTACCTCAATCAGATTGAGGACGTTTTTAGCAAAGGCCAGCTTAGGAGTGCCCTAAGTTAATAACCATGTACCTACCTATATAGTTTAAGTTTAAAAAATTTGGCTCTCAAAAGAAATTTCAATCATTGTACTGTCGATATTTGGCTCTGTTGACTAATGAGTTTGCCGACCACTGCTCCAACTGCTTTACTAAATTGGCTTTTCGCAATGCACTGGAGGTCTCTTGCTTAAATTTACATGAGAAGATAAGGATCAAGGTGGGGACAATGAGAGATGCCTCTCACTTCGAAAGGGCCTGCTGGCCCTGGCCGGATGCTCAGTCTGTTAGAGCGTCATTCTGATGCACCAAGGCTGTGGGTTCCATCCCCGTCGGGGCACACGGAAGAATCAACCAGTGAATGCATAAATAAGCGGAACAATAAACTGATGTTTCTCTCTTTCCTTTCCCCTCTCTCTAAAAATCAACCTCAAGAAACCATATTTAAAATCAATGAAAAAAAGAAAAAGAAAAAAGTGCCCCAGATTCTCTCACGTATGCCATATTGATCTGAGGAATAGACCTTGAACCCAGATGAAGTTACCAATTTCCCAGCATCCTGTGCAGCCGTACCCAAGTGCCACCTGCACACTTCCTCTGACTGACATACCTCATGGACCCAGAATGTGCCTGACATGTGTCACGGTGGGAGGAACAAGAAGGGTGTCGTCAGATGAGACAATATTGGAAGGTTCTGTACTGCAGCCTCCAAAGTGAGCTGGCTTTTCCTGTCAGCACCTCTCTTCTGGACACTCTAAGTCCACTGTTTCAAGCATTGCATACAATCACTTAATGAATAAAGTTCTGAAACTGACTCCTTACCCATGCTCCCTATAATCTCCGGTTCATCTTCTTTTTCTGAAACTTCAGGTGTAATCTCATCTTCTGTTTCTATTACAATTTCAAATTCTGGAAAAAGGAAGTTGTGATCTGGAATTGTATTGTCCACATTACCTGAAACAAAAAAAGGTAACTTGTACCACCAGTAATAACTTAGTTTTAAGCCTAAACCGGTTTGGCTCAGTGGATAGAGCGTCGGCCTGCGGACTGAAGGGTCCCCTGTTCGATTCCAGTCAAGGGCATGTATCTTGGTTGCGGGCACATCCCAGCAGGGGGGGTGTGCAGGAGGCAACTGATCGACGTTTCTCTCCCATCGATGTTTCTGGCTATCTATCTCTCTCCCTTCCTCTCTGTAAAAAATCAATAAAATATATTTTTTAAAAAACACTTAGTTTTAAGAATGGTCTCCCAGTATATTTCTAAAGTATATTCCAATACAGTAACAGCTTCTCCTAGTAAATTAATATATATAACTCCAAAACTTTAGATTTCAGACCATTAAATGCTGCTCCTATGAGATCTAACTAAGTGGGCAGAATCTCACAGCTCTTCCTACTGGGGATCAAGCTGCAACCGCAGGACGTGCCCTGACTGGGAATCCAAGGGAGACCCTTCCTGCACCACAAGACCAACTAAGCCACACTGGCCAGGCGCACAGCTCTTCCTTCATAAAGGTGGTGTCGCTACCGAGCTTCTGAGAAGTATCAGAGCTTTTCTAATTTTAACTGTTCTGGGCAAAATAAAAATCTGCTGGTAGATGCTCTGCAGCTGGGCTGGAATTTAAACAGAAGATGGACTCACCTGCCTGTCTACACGCCTGCTTATGCCCGTATCTCCAGTCCACAGCCTGGTGGTCCTTACTGCAGTAATGCGCCTGGCGACATCGCGAGCACGTCTTGGGGCCTAGACAGCCGCACACCCTGCAGAGCTGAGCCCCGGACTGGAGCTGGAGGCGCACGGACTCTCCCGTCTCTGGGGGAGGATCCTCAGAAGGCGGCTCATGGGAGTAAAAGCCATTTTTCCTGGGTAGCTGATTTCTAAAAACTAAGAAAAATGAGAAGAAACATTGCATTTTAAATAAAACTGTCAATTCAAATCATTTAGCTTCCATTCCACACAGGAATGAAAGACGCTCATCTGTTAAAAAGACAGAAGGCCATTTTTGCTTTCGGTGAACTTATGTTAAGAGAGGAAGAGGGAGAAAAAGTGGAAAAGAAAAACAAAGTCTTCAGGTCTAGAAACTAGTTTGGGGACCCTCGCCGAGCTGGCTCCGGTCAATCCAGTTACCATCGAGCCTAACAGACGGCAAAAATGCGGAAAAGCGGTTGGGACCCGGCTTTCTGAACCCCGACCATTTTAAAGTCTGAATATGAGCCAGCGCACGGAGTACCGGTTCGATGAGAAAAGTCGCG